GCATTTCGCCGGTCGGTCGGAATTACGAGCGAGGGAATTTGCCGAGCCGAAAATGAGCAAACGGAAACGGGGATACGGCGATAGTATTTCCGTGTTCCAAAAACAAAAGCAGTTAATCTCGAATGGCCGGGTCGTGGATATCGCTTAATCCACGTTTCGCCGATGTTCGCGCAATGTGGCCGTAGCCGCGATGGAATGCCACTTTGGTGCCTGGAATGCGGTGTAACGATCGTAATCACCTAAGATTCAGTTACGGAGGAATGTTTCTCGGCCCGGTATGCGCACGCTCGAGGCCGCGAGGCGAGGAATTAGAGAGGAGCATAAATAGGTGCGAATTCCGATCGATCGTGGAAAATTCGATCCCTCTTCGATCGAATGCAACGTTTTTGACTACCTGCGTCGTAATAAATTATCATTGTCCCATCGTCATTTAATAATCGAGGCGCGATTGTTATTTATAGTAGAAGGTAGGAAACGTGTTCCCTCCCCCCGTGGCCTCGACAACTCGTGTGCCGTGCCCGTTTTTCTTTTTCTTTTTGCGAGAAAAAATTATGGACGTATGGAAATAAGTAAATCATAGAATAGACATTGAGATAATAACGCGCGGTTGCTGGATGGAATTTCGAACACCGGTTCGATTTAAAACCGGACTACTTTTCATGCGTCCATAAAAGGCTGGAATAAATATTTATATATATATATATATATTATACATATACGCTGCACACCAAAATGTTATCGTTTATGTCGTTCGCGTACGATAATCGGCGGAAGCCGATTAAATCAAGTCGCTTCCGGCGACGATTATTTCAAATTATCTCGCCTAGCTCGATTTTTTTGCAGCGCATAAACGCACCTTAAGCCGATCCAATGATAGTAAGGAATACGAGGAAATTTATTTAATTTTTACGAAATTTAATTAAATTTATTTCCCGTGAATATGAGAGCAGTCGAGGGAACGGTTTAGGGTGCTGGATGAAATATTTTTTTGCTTCTATCTACTCTCCTTCCTTGCCCCTTCGATCTAAAACCAAACCTACCCCTCCCCCTTGGTTTTTAACCCCCTTGGTAACACCTATGATATCTCCGATATATACGTCCTTTTAATATCTATCACACAAAACTTGAGTGTCTAATTATTGTATGTTAGAGCGAAGATATTTGTGTTCTTGTTCTCCCGGCAGTTGGATACACAATGCGCGATATTCGGTACAAATGGAACGCCGGCCTACAGTCGGTCGGCATCTCGAACGAGGTGGAACTACCGCAGTTTCGCGTGCTCGGTCACAGGCAACGACATTCAACCATACACCTATCTACAGGTAGATATCCCCCTCTTATTAGTTCTTCCTTCTGAACTTGGTCCAGAGGCTCGCGCAGATAAATTATGAATAATTTATTGACTTGTTGTAACATTATATTGTCACACGCGTCTTATACACGCCGTTATATACAAGTTCGATATATGTGTGGAGCTGTTTCCTGTTTTTCTTTCTTTTTTTTTTATCTTCATTCCACTTCTTTTTGTACGTGTATATAATATATATATACGAATATTATTGTATCTTTCGTTTATATACTCTCTTTTCTTTCGTTTCTTTATTTTTTTACCTTTTTTCTAATTTATTTGTTTCTTTTCTTTTTTTCTTTTTTTTGGTTTCTCTTCTGGTTTTCGCACCGATATGCACCGATATCACCGTGTTGCCTTATACCGTGAACACTTATCGATCAAGGAAGAGGTTAGGACGAAATCCGTCCCCGGGGCTAACTCATTCGACCAATCGACCGATCGACCAATCAATCAACCTCATCGACCTTTGAATTTAAGGACGAAGACGAACTCTCCCCGATCATACGTATCCATCGTTCCTCCTCGAGCTTCCCTTTTATCACCGGGTCCGAGATAGACGACGTACTATTTCACGAATCTAACCCTTTATATTCCAACGATCTCTCTGTATATTTTTTTGAAAGAAAAAGAAGATCGTTATGGAAAATAGTACCGAGTCAATCTCCGACGAAATCATCCACCAAATACATCAGATCAAAAACCGACACGACGACGACGACGACGACGACGACGACGACGATGACGATGGGCTCTCGAAAAAATCGAGAGAGAGAGGAATAATAAAAAAAAGTAACATCACTGCGAATCTTGTTTAAAGAACTCGAACATCACGACAGAACAAAGAAACAGCTAAATTAAATAAAACTTGCTTGCACGCAACACCTTTTCCGCTCGTGTTCGATCTTTTCGATCGTCCCCCTGAATGGGGGATTATTATTATTATTATCACTCCCCCGTTGAATTGGTTCTCTCGTGAGAGAAAAAAAAAAAAAAGAAAGAGGCAAAGAACGAACAGAGGAGACAGATAGATAGAACGGAGAGAAGGAAAGAGTGAAAGAGAGAAAGAGAGAAGAATGAATATGAGAGAATACGCAAAGAGGAGATCGAAGCTAAGATCGAAACTTGCTTAAAGAGAAACAACATGTATGTCGCTAAGAGGGAAAGAAAAGAGGAAGGAAAAAAAAAAAAAAAGAGAGCGGACTTGTTGGGGTTTTGACGGGGGTGCGAGGTAAGTGGAGGCCCCCTCGGAGCTGAAACGCGTTTGAGGGCTTCCGCGAAGGTACGTACCAACCGCGGGGGGTCTCTCTATTTTTTCAGTCGGATACACGATGAGGGACATCCGGTACAAGTGGAACGAGGGACCGAACAGCGTCGGTGTCAGCAACGAGGTCTCCCTGCCTCAGTTCAAGGTCCTTGGTCACCGTCAACGAGCCATGGAGATTAGTCTAACTACCGGTAACGTATGAATAGAACC